CAAGACCACTAGCTAAAAGCACATGATTCTTTTGAAACCAACTCAGAAGTGTTGAGTCAAGGGAAATTAAAAAACAAGTGCAAGCATATAATGTATTATAAAATTGATCTCCCTGACAAAGTATTACTTGTCAGTGATTTCTAGCAAATATCTTCAGACTTGCATTCAAGTTAAGATTTTCACAATATGGAACAGATCTGCAATTATTAAAATCTTTCTGTGCATCAGGATCTTTCCCATGAAGTAGCTGCTCACTGTGACAGTGGTGTTCATTTTAAGGGAAGCCACTGCCTTGGCCAAGGTTTTGGGAGGTCATTGTTTGATGACTCAGGTGACCTAGACTGCCAATATCCCAGAATTATGAGGAAAAATGATAAGGAGATCACAGTAACAATGGTGGTCAGCTTTCTTTGGTCGCAAGGGTACCCTTGGAGATAGCCTAGTATAAAGAAAGAACCCTGGACTGGAAACTGAGAGACCTCAATTCGACTTCAGCTATTCCACAAACTTATGTGATCATGGGATGTGATTTTCCTCATCTCCCAAATAAACAGTGAGAGAAACCCTTATGGCCAGCTCCAATAATCTACTTTTCTATGAAATTAATTAACAAATACAATTTGCCTCAGCATAGGACTTTACCCTAGCCAAGGCAAACAACCCTGACTTTCTTCAACATGCAAGGGTACATTATCCCACTGCCTTCTCCCATTCAATAGTCTTGCTTTTCATTGGATACTTATCAGATAAAAATATATTTCACTTTTAGTAGGTGCAAGGTCTCTTGATGGTATTTAGCTGCGTGATAGATCTTCCTTATCCTTCCCTCAGCACAGTTTCTCAGGATGAGGCCACTAGTCTAGCCTAGAGCAGTGAAATTTATAAAATACGTGGTTGTCACTTAAGTACTTCATACTTGAACTAATTATTTTAATGCTTGTTCATTAGCTTTCTCATGTTAATACTATCTCACCATGTTTAACAATACATGCCACCAGTGATTGAGAATTGATGTGCCAGATACTATCCTAAGTATATTCTCACAATTAATACAACCATTTCTGTACACACACACACACTCTTATCCATATACACATCTCTATATCACATTATATACATCTATTAATATACACATAGACATATAGATATGTATGTATATATGTGTATATATATATAAAATTATACCATTATTAAGCCCATTTTACAGAAAAAACTGAGAATCAGAAGAAATTAACTTTCCCAAAGCCACAGAGTTAGAAATTGGCAGAGGTTGAATTTGAACCAGATTCTGTGTTTTTAAACATTTTGAGCACAGTTCAGTGGCTGGTCTTTGAAAAGCAATGTATATAAGAAGTTATTTTCAAAAATGGAGAAAATGAGTAGTATGATATCTTGGAAATAACACAGGACTTAAGAAAAGTGACCTGAGTCCCTTCCCAGGTTCTGCTGATAGCTGGATATGTCATCTCGAATGAAATGCTCATCTTTCCTGAGGCCTCAATTTCCTCTTGCAGAATGATGGGTTTAGAGTAGATAATCTCTAAGGTTCCTTCTGACTCTAAAAAGGAATGGTTTGCTTCTGAAAGGCATTGTTTCTACAACGAGGATAAATACTCAGAATTCCAACTATTCAGAATGAAATGTAACATCCTTTCCTTGAGTAATAGAATAGCTATGGTCTAGTCATCCCCTAGATCTTAGCTCTCTTATTTTAACCTTCCCTGGCATCCATTCTTCATACCATGGGCATTTTAATTTAAGAGCACATATCATAGTCTGCAATTACAAATTGATTTGTGTGGTTAGATTGTAAATTTCAAGATGGTGGCGACCACGTCTGTCTGCTCACCACTGAATCCCTATCTCATGCCTAGTGCTGGGCTTGGCCTGGAGAAGGTGCCAATCACATCTGTTGACTCACTGGATTTTAAAAGGGGCTCACTGCCCCCAGATTTTCAATCCTGGCTAATTTAGAGCTACAATTTCTTTTTGCCTTTCTTAAAAAAGATTCTGGTAATGAGTCTTTCATGCCCTAGGAAGGATATAATTTATTTTCTTGGCTCCTGATATGCCAGAGAAGCCAGTGATAAGCGCTGTCTCCTGCAACTACACAAAAACACAGTGCACGCCTTGGATTTCCAATACCACTTTTTCTCATCTTATAGAAACAAATATTGAAGATGACCCTATGAACATATATATTGATGCATCTATATCTAATTTAAATCTTGTCTGTAAGAAAGGATTACTGAGTATCTGTAAGCAGAGGCTTACTCATTTAAGAGAAGGGATGGATAAACTCATCCTTATGTGTTTGGTGTTCTTGGCTAGAATCAGTTGCAGAAGCGCTCCAATCCCCTCTACTGATGCGCTAATGACAGGCCCACCCAACTGCACACATTTTATGGATTGCTATGCCTTTCAACCTGGAACGTGCTACTGGTAGCAGCCAAAGATACTTGGGTAATTGGGGACAGTGGGTTTGTGAACTGCTCCCTCTCTCTTCCTGCAGCTTATCCCCCGGGATGCCAGAGTCTAGGGCCGTGGAGCAGCGGGAGCCACAGCACACAGCGGCTGAGATTGTAGGCAGCCACACGGCAGTGGCTTCTTGGCAGGGAGCAGTTCAGTCTAGGACCACACGGAAAGCAGACATGCTGACTACAGCTTCCAGCAAAGAAAATGAGATTTTCTGCCTGGGTTTGGTGGGCTGGGATGGGGGAGTAAAGGGGGGGGGTTGGGGAGAGTGCCAAGCTAGGCTGTTGATGAGAGTGTGGGAAGATTCAAAGGAAGGAAAAAACAAGTGGAGGCACTTTGCCAGCTCAGAGGCAGTTGGGCTTATCTCCCCCCACCCCTCTTCTGCTTAAGTGAGAAATCCGGCTGGGTGGGGTGGGGGCAGCCCCGAGAAAGGAGTGATTCTGCTGGGCGAGCATGGATGGTTGGACCCAGGAAGGATGTGTCTGCCAGCTGGGATCAGGGCCAGGGGAGACAGGAGAAACTAAGGGAAGGGAGATGAGGGTCAAGAAGAATAAAAGATGTCCCACAAGGAGGAGAGAAGAAAGGAGTAAAGAAAGCAGAAAGCAAGTTGGATAGATAGGGAAGAGCCATGTTTCTGTGTCACAGAGCAGGCCTACCTACCAAATGCCAAGATAAAATAATGTTCACATGAAACAAGTAATGAACAAACACATAGTACAGAATAGAGTAAATCTACTGCTCCTAAATTTCTCCTGGTGGGTGTTAATTTCCATGGGAATACAGTTTTCCAAAACAGCAAATCACTGAAGAGCTGTAAGCTATTAGAAAAAGTATTGCTTTTTAGGTAAAAGCAGAACAAACAAAATGCTATCCAACACAGAAAACCACATACTACTTCTAAATATTGATTTTCCTAAAAAATAATAATAGAGCGCAAGAATCCTAAGTTTCTTTATTTGCCTCTTTGATAAAATATAAAAATATAAGTATCTTCTTGTAAGAGATTGTGAGAAGGGAAAATTACAAATATCGATGAAATAAATTCCATTTATTATTATTGTTTTTAATGGACACATAATAGTTGTACATATGTATGGGGTACATATTTTGAAATATGTGTATCATGTATAATGATCAAATTAGGATAATTAACATATCCATCACCTCAAACATTTATCATTTCTTTCTGTTGGGAACATTCAAAAGCCTCTCTTCTAGTTATTTGAAAATATATAATAAATTATTGTTAACTATAGTCACCCTGCAGTGTATTGAACTTATTCCTCCATCTAGTCATAATTTTGTACCTTTTAACCACCTTCTCCCTATCCCCTGCCCCCATCCTACCCAGCCTCTAGTAACCACTATTCTATTCTCTACTTTTATGAGATCAAATGTTTTTGAGATTCCACATATGAGTGAGAACACAACCGTATTTGTTTTTCTGTGCCCAGCTTATTTCACTTAACATGATAACCTCTAGTTCCATCCATGTTGCTGCAAATGACATGAATTCATTCATTCTCATGGCTGAATAGTATTCTACTGTGTGTATATACCACATTCTCATTATCCATTCATCTGTTGAAGACACTGAGGTTGATTCCACATCTTGACTACTATGAATAGTGCTACAATAAACATGAGGGTGTAGATAACTCTTCACTGTACTGATTTCCTTTCCTTTGGATATATACCCTGTAGTGGGATTGCTGGCTCATATGGTAGTTCTAATTTTAATTTTTTAAGGAATCTCCATAAAGTTTTCCACAATGGCTGTACCAATTTACATTCCCACCTACCGTGTATAAGAGTTTCCCTTTCTCCACAGCCTTGCCAGCATTTGTTAGTTTTTTGTTCTTTTGATAATAGCCACTCTAATTCCATTTTTAAGTGATGGCACTTTTAGAACTTTTTGATGCAGTTTTTTGGAGGCTGATGAAGAGCTAAAAACCCATCAAGTGAATGTTACATTTTTGGTGACAATCTCACAAGTTACATGTGGCTTGGGGACCAAAATTCCACTGGCTTCAATCTCACAGAGACACTAAGCCACATTTTGGCTTAAGTGCCTAAAGGACATATTTGGCTATTTTATTAGACTAATTACACATAAAAGAACCCAAATATTTCCCCTCCCACTTCAGAATCTAGGCTTCGGGAGGCCTTGCAAACTTCTACTCTTCCCCTTGGAACCCTGACACCACCACCTGAGCAAGTCTGATAGAGCATGGCGGGGGCGGGGGCGGGAGGAAAGCCTCGTTGTCCCAGACAAAGCCATTTTAGATCAGATTACAGTCAGCTGACTCCCAAACATGTAAGAGAACCCAGCTGAGATCAGCCAACAGCCTACCCAACTCATAGCTAACCGCAAATGCACAAGTCAGCATGGCTGAGACCAAAAGAGCTGCCCCATCCCCCGTGAATAATAACGAACACTTACTGTTTTAAGCCATTGAGTTTTGGGATGGTTTGTTACACAGCAACAGACAACTGGTATAGTTACACGCAAACCGGAGGCTCACCTGCACATTCGTATTGCAGACCTTTTCCGTAATACCCCTTTTCACAGATGCACTCAAATTGGCCTGTGTGTGTCCCGCATTTGCAGCTCGCCATTCGGTCACAGCAGTCTTTGCCGGCTTCACACAGATACGAGCAGTGGGACATATCCTCTTGAATAAAACTCCCAGAAGGTAGATCTACCAATAACATGTGACAGAGGGCAATAAAAATATGAGTAACAGTTGCGTGTTACAATCTCTAGTCATTAAAATTTAAGTGCAAGCTGGAGAAAATATTGTTTCACATCCGTCTAATTCCCAACTGCTTCCTACTCCCACCCAAACACGAATGTGTGTTATTTGCACTACCACACTGTGGGAATTTGTTTCAGCCAGTTAAGTTATTTCAGTCTGGGACCTCATCATCAATTCTCAAGGCCATACAGGGTCAGGCAGAAATTAAGTATTTTAGTGAGGAATCTCCAGATGCAGCAGGAAGTAAGGCAGTCAGTTCTACAGGTCATTCCCCTGGCTTCCAAGCCAGCAGTGTGCAACTGCCTCTGTATGAGGTCAGGCAGCAGCAACCAGATTTCCAAAATCCTTTTCAAATTAGAAATTAAGCCATAATCCTGACCGCTGCAAACGGGTGTTGATTGTGAGCTACTGACTTTAGCATAAGTACTATCACTTCCATAATTATTTGACTAAAGACTTAAAGAATAGCAGCACTTAAGTTAAATAATAAAACCAGGATCTGATTTATCTCTCAATTTAAAATAAATTAACACATGTTACATAAATAGAACCATTTTTACTATAATATTTGGGCCATGCTCTGAAGTGAGGCATGCTGGGAATTCAACAACTCAGGCACAGCAGTTGAGAAAGTGAACTTAACAGGGCAGAGTAAGGTTGAATATGACTGACCCAGAATGGATGGCCTAAAGTGGGCAAATAATAAGTCCATTTATTCTGTTGAAGAGCTTCAAAAGTCTTAGCCTAAATTCTAGTGCTAGGTCCATGGGGCTGGGCCCAAATGTAGTGATGGACTCATAGTAGGAACTCAAGTGGGTGAATTTCAGCAAGACACGTTGGCTGAAATTGAATACCTGGGAAGGATTAAATATTTTATTTAATCCACCTGAAAAAAATATGTGATACATGTCATAGCGCTCTCCATTTTGAAAGGAGAAAAACTGAAGCTCATAGTTGTTAAATAATTTGCCTATGGTAATTAATAATAAATAATATTAATTAATAAATAACACTAGTAATAGCTGACAGTTATTCAGCACTTAGTATAATAAGACATTAGTTACTTTCTAATCACTTTATATGTATTAACCCATTTAATCCTTGTAACAATCCCAAGAAGAAGGTATTATTCTCATTCCCTGTTCTATTAACAAAAAACCCCTAAGGAACACAGATGATAGATACTTTGTCAAAAACCACTCAGCTGGTAGGTAACAAAACCGGGATTCAAATCCAGGCATTCTGGATTTTTAAGGCTTAGTTCTTAAAAACTAGACTTCATTAAGTTACAGGCCCAGAACTTGAATCCAAATTGCTTCACTCCCGAAACCCATTTTCTTGCCACTTCTAAGCCCCGCCCTAGGTCCCTGCTCACTTCTCTAAAATCCTAGCCTCCAATAACTTGTGCCACATCATCCTTCGGGGAGTTAAATCCTTTTCTCTGTATCCACAGCTACAGCCCAATATCCTGCTCTAAACTTTTTTCTTGAATTTATAGTAGGGCTAACCCATTTATTATGAATATCACCATATTGCCATCATTGTTCCCTAAAAATGAATCTTTCATATGGATACCTGCAAGGATCATGCCTAATTTGCTGCACCACTTCGATCTGAGGCTAGATTTCCTGTACTCTCCTCTCAGTTTGTGGTTTTCTTCTCCTAGCTCACCCAGACACATGCCCATATTCTGACAGGAAGTTTATCTAACTTAAATTATGCTACTAAACATACTTATAAATGAGGTACAAAAAACTCTAATGAATGAATTTGCTGATTTTTTTCCTCTTTTGGGGTTAATGCTCTTTAGTTTATACATAAGCATATTTATCTTCAAATTGTCAGGTCAAAATGTATATGTTAAGTATTTATTGTCCCTATAGCTTAATATATATTTCTGGAAGCATTCTGGTGAGATTCACTGGGCATATCTCTGAACGTTTGTCTCCTCTGTCCAGATAACTGTAATGAGATCTAAGTCAAGGCTTCCTGCTCTGTGTGTGGCCTCAAAACACACCTAAATTCATTCCACTGATTCTAATGATTCTAGGTGGGAGCATATGGCTATTTTACTGAAAATATATAACAGCTGTTAAGAATCAAAACAAAAAAAATACTCTGTTGCAAGGTCAGAATGTCATCTCTACAAAGTTTAGCACATTTCATGATACCCAAAGGACACATGGGCACCATGCTCAGCGAAGACCTTGTGAGGGTTTGATATTACTCTCCGTGTTTTCAGGCAATGAGAGGGAAGGAAATCCCATTTAAAGGTACCTTTGTTATACCATTAGGTTTCCATTACCTTCATGCAATGCCCGGCGAGCTAAAGCCTCAAATTCTTCAAAACTATGGAGCAGGTAACAGTGCTCTTCCTTTGGGGTGGAAGCCATATCATTCAGTTCTCGAATGTTTCCTTGCCATATGCCAAAAGTGAAGATCTCCACTCCAAAATCTCGTAGTGATGCTGCAATTGGTCTAGGGTCTCCCCCATTGGAATATCCATCAGTAATGAGAAATATAACTTTTGTTGAATTTTCTCTAGAATGACGAAGAATTTGCTGTAATAAAATAGGGAAAGTTAGTATGAGTTTGCACTATGTTGCCCTACTATGTGCTTCCCTTCTTATGTAAGACAGTATTTATGAACATTGTTAGCATTTCATAGGAGTGAGGAATAGAAGCCCCGATCCGTGAGAGTAAAACAGAAATAGGCACAGACTAGAGCCTACAATGATCTTCTCACAGAACCCGAATAAACCTCAAAAGCATGTAAAGTGTATTATCATCATCATTATCATCATCATCATCATTGTCATTGCTGTGGAGCTTGCTAATAAAAAGCAACAAATGTTTATGGAATAAATTTTTTATTAATATGATCACTTATTGTTATTTGTATTGATTCTCAGGCTCTCAAAATATGAACCATTTCTGAATCCTGTGTATCTACTTCCAAGTATATCTATCTAAATATCTGTCTCTTTCCACCTATCCAAGCCACTACATGATCATACATTAAAATCCTAACAAGAAGAAAATTTAACAGAATATGTCTTTTACAGAGTAAGTAATGGCTGACTTGCTTCCTATATTTGTTTTTCCACTGCTCCTCCAAAAATGTAGAATTGATTCAATACTTCATCTTTTTTGGACCACCCAGTATTAGCACAAAATCTGGTTTTTGGTGGTATCCTATCTTCATGAGAAAATATTGATTCACTACATCTGACACTTGGGTTTTATTATTTTCGGACAAGTGAACTCTGTTTTACAGTGATATATGCTGTTCCTTCTCTATAGATAGAAGAAAAAAATGAAACCTTTAAAAAAGGCATTCTATTTATTGGCATTGGTGCTCTGTAACTATAAAGGCACAAGAACTCCAGGGGGGATTCTGGCACTATAATTCAATTTGCTGTTGTTGCTTTTCATTAGAAAGGGGTAGAAATGGTAAAGAAGAGCCAGGGCATGTTTTCTGGTGAGTTCTTAGAAGGAATTCATGTTTATTAGGCAGTAATTCAAGAAACACTATGTTTTCCAGAATGGAAGCAGGAAGAGAGACAATTGTACCCTATGTTTTGTTAAAGCTAAAAGGAGATACTATGATTTAAAAAATGTTTGACTCAATTCACTTTAGGGGGCAGACTCACCATAAGATCCAGATTCTCTCAGACTGTAAGATTCATGTCTGCAGAAAGCAATTTCCATTAGTATAGAACCAATGGATACCGATTATAACTCAATAATTCTTAACTAAATTTTGTTAGTGTTTGTGAGCTAAAGTTAAAACTGTTAAATTTAAGCAAAATTAAAATGACTCCAGAAAATGTCTGGAAAGCCAGCAGTTTGAGAAGAGCTATTCAAGCAATTCACCCTACTCCTTCTGAAAAACCAAATGAGATCAAGGAAAATAGTGCAGATGGGACCATACCAAAGACAGACAAAGAGGGCAGTTGGTATGATGGAGAAGCATGTGAGACATTGCCAGAGATATTCTCCAAATACACACACCAAGGAACCCAATCAACAGCCTCAAAAATTCTTGGCTCTTATAGTTTAAAAAGTTGCCCTCTTGATGAATGATATGAAGATCTGGAATGAATGTTTGGTAATTGTGAAATTTTTCCACACTCCAGACAAGGAAAGAACCTCTGCGGAGAGGAAGAGGAAAAGAGTTGGAGGAGAACAAGGGATGTTGGATGTTGCTATGAGGCCCTGAACTCTCTACCAATTTCTCTATGCCCCACCAAGTCAGTTACAGAAAGAGATGACTGATAAGCATCCCTTTAGGTACAGGGATCCATGGGTCCTCTTTCCATTTGGATATTTGGGATGGTGGCAAGTCTCACAGAAGTGCCCTTGGTTGCAAGGACACAGGACAATAGAGTATAACTATGTGGGCGGTAAAGGACAGAGGATCTGATGAATCTTCTGTATTCCTAGACAGGTGCAGGAGCGACTCCCGAAGGAATCTTGCAATAATAATGGATGACACCACGGACCCTGTGCGCCAAAAGCCAGATAGAAATGTGTCTCTTCCCAGCAATATCCTCAAGAAGAGATCCTGGAAGCCCCAGGAGATAGCTGCATCAAAGGTGACAAAATTAATGAATAGACATGCCAATGACCAACAATGACCACCATGAGCATTGATGAGAATATCGTCATCTCAGAGGATGGAAGTACAGGAGCTGAGAGGTGTCAGAGCTGAGAGGTGAACATCCCCTCCTTTGCCAGAGCTTAGACTCAACTACGGGGAGGAAGAGAAGTGGAATAAACTCCTGAATATGACTTCGTTTTCAAAAGTGAATTGCTTGAGAAACTTCTGATTTTGAGTTTGCTTGGAAGCACCTAGATGAAGATTTCTGTCACCAGGTAATTGGGATCTCAAAATGTAAATTATATTTAGTATTAGGAAAATAATTATTTTAAAAAATATTAATCAAATATTTTATCTTTTACATATCCAGTTTCTCTTCCTGAAGGAATCTTGTGATATCTTAGAAAGAAAGTAGAGAAAACTTTTTGGAACCCTGCCATCCCCACCTGTTCATAAGAGGAGGCAAAGGCTGGAGATGAATGCCAGGGCTGGGATGGAGGAAGTCACTTTATCTAATCCCTTTGCCACACAGCTCAAAGACATCCCGAGATGATGGGCCCAGCATTTCAAGGGCAAGGACAGCTTCAAACAGAAGCCTGGTCTTCTCCCCAAATGTAACTTCCTTGAAGGCAAGTGTTTTTGTCTATTTTTTCAATTCCTCAATACCCAGAGACTAGAACAGTGCATGGTAGACAGTACACACTCAATAAATATTTGTCAATAAAGAGCAGTCTATACTGCAGCAATTCTTCTAGTTACTCAGACTAAAACTTTGGAGCCATTCTTATCTCCTATGTCCTCCTGTATCTCATTTTAGAAAGTTTTCCCACCCCAAGGCTATTAAAATATTCTCATATACTTGTCTCTAATGCTTTTATTTTTTTAAATTCTTAAATCCAGATAGACATTTTCTTTTGTCTTTGGCGTAAGGTAGAACCTACCTTTATTTTTATTCACTCAGTAAGCAATTTTCTCTAAATTATTTACTGATTGATCTATTTGTTCCTTATTATACTTTCTCCATTCTGTTTTATTGATCTACTTGGTTATTCTTGGCCAACACCAACGCTGTTTCAGCTGCTATAGCTTTATAGCATTTTTCCATATCTGGTAATCCTTTTTTCTCTTTTAAAATGTGGTTAACCTTGAAAATTTTGTTTTCCAATAGAGCTTGAGAGTCGGCTTATAAAATTTTTCATTAAAATTTCTCTAACCATTTGATCCAATAATTTCACTTCTAGGAATCTGTCCCAGAGATATACTATACTAGCGCACAAAAACAGACAGAATCAAGGACCAGCCCCAATAGAAATGAGCATCCCTAAAGCCCTGACTAGAGTCTCCAAAGACCATTACCTTCTAAAAGGAAATAGGAATTATTAAGGAAATGGTTGATTTCAGGTCCAGCATAGAAAATACACAATGTGAGCCGGGAACGTCCTCTTATGACAGAGAATGAAGAAACTGTTAAAGATTCCTAAGCCAAAGACAATCAGGAGCCAGCCTGAGGAGCCTTCTTCTGGCCAAATAAAGGGCAATTTGAATATTAATAAAAATAATAATTGGGATGGATTTAAATGTATGAAGTCTAACATACACACACATTCACGTGTATGTATATATATGTATGTATTTACATTTTCAGTTATTACACATTCCAGGGGGAAAGTCCTATCAATTTAAACAATAATTGGAATGGACTGAAATACACACACACACACACACACACACACACACACACTTTTTTCGTTCGGCACCACCTCTGGGGAAAAGTGCAATTATCTGTTAGGACGACATGAAGTGAGACATTATTTAATTTGCCTTTAAAATTATATTTTTCCACATTCAAAGGGTAACTCTTGCTTTAGTCAGGACTGTAAGTGTTCCCTTTTTGATTACTGTCTCTTCTACAAGGTCATGGCAGTTAACTATAAGCAAGACACTAATAAAGTAAGAATTTTGATGGAAAGGAGGAGAAGAGCAAAAAAAAGGAATTTGTCTTTTCAGTATGGTATTCTTGATAGTGCCTACCACAGAGTATGTGCTCGTAAGAATTTATTCAGTGAATGAATGAATGAATGAATGAGTGGAGTGGATAAACTCTAGGATAGTCTGGAGCAGAGAGGTGCTTGAGTGAGTCTCAAGTAAGTAGTAGGAATGCGTATGTGTGCTCACATGTGTGCGTTTTGTATAGTTTTGTTCAAAGAAAAGATAAAGTTTTCTTTTGTGCTTTTATTGTCCTTATAAAACAAACAAATGCTATCTTGTAATATTAATCTTAGCTCATGTCGATAACAACCCTTAACATCCAGGTTAGAATTCAGCAGAGATTTCTCCCTGTACTGCTGATTATACACAAAGCACTTCAAGCTGTAATTCTATTTTTCTTCTCTTCTTGCAGAGAACTGGTGAGTATTTACAGGAACCATTAATATATTAAACTTAAACTAGAAAGAAGAATAGCAGGACTGGTAGTCCAAGCAAAGAATTACACAAGATCTGGGTTTGGAATGCACTTTAAAGATAGAGGAGGGGTGGAGATTTACTGAAAATAATTTATCCCCCCCCCAAGCTTTGTGCTTCATTGCACTTCAATAAAAACATAATTCAATAAAAACATTTTTCATAACACAGATTTAAGAAGTAAATAGATCTGTGGTAATGTTTGTGGAATGTGGTAGAAGCCTGGCACTTGATTCTCTTCTCGGTGTTCCTGAAATAGTTTACATCATGGGCTACCCTTTGAGAGGCATTTAAGAAACGGAATTTTTTGGTCCAGAATGTTGAATGAGACAAACCCTTTGCTGCCAAAGAAAAACTCAACATGGACTTTGTATGGCAAAAGGTTATCACCATCTGTATTATATCAAGCCTCTGATTAGCTTGTATAAATATCTGGCAGGGAAGTAAGCTTCCCTCGTCCAGCAATAGTCATTAGAATGATAAAAATGCAGGGTT